CTTTAAGTTATAGTTGGCTGGGAGACAATTTTGGTTGGTCATTAGTGAAGATTGTAAATTTGCTTCAAAGCTGATCACTTCATGATCAGACCCTGTACTTTCCAGGTATCTCCAGTTATACTATTGGAGGATCTTAAAGTTGGTTTCAAATGTCAGATCAATTATAGATGTATTTTTCGAGTTGGACCTGTGAAATGTTCCACCCACCTCTTCAATTACAGTGAAGTCATTTACAAGTCTTGCCTGACATGTCTCCATGTATGTTGTAAACTCTTGTGAGCTAGATGATGGTGATTTGACAGCTGGATTCCAAGATGGATGATGAAGGTTACCCCTTCGACTTTCAACAGCAACTTTAAGCCATTTCTTGCCACCAGAGAGCCATGTGAAATATGCTGGGCCCTAGCGCAATACGAATCAGCCATGGGGGGCAAGACCGAACACCTGCACGCGGTGTCCTCTACGAACCTGGGAGTGAAATATTCTCCCAGAGCCAAGTTCATTCAAATTTCGCAATATCAAAGAAATTGGCCCAGGAGACAAAAATTCAAATTACTCCACCATGTCAATCTTTCACTCCCAAAGAGTCCGATTCTCAACTAAGCTTCATCAAGTCTACAAGTACGACCTAGTACATCCTCGTTTCAATGACCACACCTCTCGTCGACCTTCTCTGGCCTCAGCTGGTCACCAAATACACGCCCACACCGATATTTACACCCGATGGAGGAAGCAAAGCGTGGCGCACAAATTTGGGAGACAGTTCTTTGGGATGGACGTGAGAGGGATCAGGACAAGTTGAAAAGATGATGCAAAGGATGGATATAACTTTGAAGGGAGTGAAATTCCGAATTTTGGCAAGCAGTTTAGAGAATTGAGCTTTGTGTGCGCCAAGACTTCGCTTGTGAGAGTGCAGCTGACACTATAAAAACAAGCCAACGATGCAAAGTGTCGTGGTCTGCCTCCTGGTGGTGTTCTCTGGTATGGTTTGAGTAGCCTGGGCACCTACTCCACTTGGGAAAGAGACACCTCAGATCACATATCGCGCGGAGAAAAGTTGAAAGATGATGGAGGCATGTCTGGATAACTCAGGGTTTTTGAGACGTTCGCCTCAGTGGGTATTCACGAATGAGGATTGACTTGGGGTGAAGAAAAAGCCACTTTAACTTTGCAGTGGTACTTGCAAATGAAATCCGAGGCATGAGTGCTCTTCCCTTACATTGAATCATTTATTCTGTACTTTTCTTTGATATTGTGTCATAGCTAGATAGCTGCATACGCAATTAAAATCTGATGCAAAAAAAAAAGGCAAAGATTGTGAGTGTTAATTGCACGACTGAAGTCTTACACTATCCAACGCATTGGGCTCCTCTCTAATCCAGGCCACACCTTGTACTGTGCTCCTTGCCTCTTTTTTTACTTGAAAGATCATTGATATATTCCCCTTGATGAATAGCCATTCAGCTTAGTGTTTACCCGCGGAATTCGACCACCTTTTCCACGGAACCTTCTACCCAAAAAAAACGAAAATGGTAGCAATGGAAACTGCGTGAGCGAGAAAAAGTCTCAAAAAACCTGCAGCTCCAGCCAGGCGAGGCCTAGACACCGAGACAACATGAGGTGCGCATATTCATCTATATCTCCCTTCTTTGTAACAGTCGAGGCCGACTTGATCCAATCTACCATCTCCGTATCGGGTACTGGGTATGCTCCGGAAGCTCATCGGATGGCTTCTCCTCCATGATCAAGGGTTGGTGATTAGTAGGGCTCCGACCCTACTATCTGATCTGATCGTGGTTAGCTTCATGATAATGGTAATAGGGGAATGTGTTGAGAGATGAAGACGATACAGACCGCGAAAGCGGTCGTGAATCCTCGTTGAAGTAAGGACTTGTTACTCAATCTCAGCTCTGCAGACTGTACATGGAGAGCTGGAGGTTCGTAGGGGACACAACTGACAGGTGTTGAGATCAGTCCCCCTCAATGCTATTTAATCATGTAGGTTGACTTTTTCTACTTTGGAAACATTCATTATCTAGATTTCGTTCGTATATACCACTCTGAGGTATGTTGGCTTGCATAAACAGTGGACCCTCCTCCGTAAGTACTCACCAATGGGACGTTTCAAAACCTTTGATTATCTTCACATGCCTCCGTCATCCATGTATACCAACACCGCGAGAAATGTGGTTGTTTTTTGCCGGATTCGAAACAGCGATTTCCTGTCTCGAGTGAGATGTGTCAAAAGCTATCTAGGATCTACTCGGAAGACCGTTCTAGATGGTGTACCATTACACCATCCAGCCATATCGGTCTTTAAAGTGTCGCTTGCACTCTTGCCACGGAAGACTTGGCACGCACATAGCTCAATTTGAAAAACTCCTGTCTAAAATCAAAATTTCCACATCTGTCAAGATTGTATCCATTCTTTGCATCAGGTAAGCTTGTCCTGATCCCTCTCATGTCCATTATGAGAAACTGTCTCCCATCTCTGTGCGCCACGCATTCTTTCCTCCATCGAGTGTAAACGTCGGGGTGGGCGTGTACTTGATGGCCAGCTAAGGCTAAATAGAATCGACAAGAGGTGTGGTCTTTAGAATGGGGATTGCTAGGTATTAACTGTAAACTTGAGGAGGTTTTTGGGGAATCAATCTCGTTGGGAGGGAGAATTCGATTTGAATTTGAAAACTTTCACGTGACAGGAAGAACCCGATATATATTTAGATGTGACACGGGGCGATGAGCTCTGAGAGCTCAGAGCTACCTGCATGACTGGCAGTGAAGCTAGAAGCGACAAAAAAAATAAGGAAATATAAAGGTACAGTAAATGTCTGAGTTATGGTGCCCGGCGTAACATCCCAATCTTCCACACCCATCTCTTGAGTCAGAATCCATCTCAGCGTGGTCACCTCCCACGATATTCGATCTTCGGCAGACTGTAGCATCTGCTTGTCGTTAGGAATAGAATGAACTTCTACCATCCCTTCTCCCATATCATTTCCCTGGCCTCAGATGGGGTCACTGTCCCACAGCTTCTCCAACGTTGCAAAGCAGGTCGGCACTCTGAAAAGTGCCAGGACCTTTTCTCTCGGTCGCAAACGCATTTTAGATCTTCATGTTCGGGTTTGAAACGTCGATGGTGGGAGAAATTGAATTGTTATCGAGTATTAAATCATAGCCTCGCTGGCCAACTTAATCGAATTTGGGAAGTGTAACTGAATTTGGTTCTGGGGGAATAAGCAGCAATTAAACTCAAGGCTGGAACACAGAGTATTTCTTATTGTTTCCTCCACGTCGCGTTACAGAGTATGACTTACGAATTCGATCGCCATTCAGAGCAGAGCATGCTGCTCTTACCCTGGAGCTGTGCAGGAGGCAGGAGAGTGAACAGATAACGCGAGACATAGGTATCCCTGGCCTGCAAGTGGAGAGGATCTACGCGTGCTCTGGAATCTAAGACATAGAACGGGCAGCAATTAAAAAATGCATCTTCAGATCTATGAGAAGCGGTGGACTTAGGCTTACCGTTTAATTTGTTTTTGATGTGAACTACGTACAAGCTCACGTACTTCAGAGGGGTTTCATTGCTAGCATGAGAAACGTTGGCAACTTGCAGACTGCCGGCTACATAAACACATATCAAGGGAGAAGTGGGGACCCAGCTGATGTTAGGACCTTGGAACTTTGTGACTATCCTGCGGTGAAGCTTTATCGTTGCGGGTGTTATTGTCGTAGAGCGTCTCTATAATGATGGCCCTTTAGCCCGCCGGTTTATTCACAGGTCGGGTTCTAGGTCCCAAATCTTATCTCATGGATTCACATGCATGGCGGCAATAGCCGAAGGACTGATGAACAGGTGCAGCCTGGTTTCTTTCCTTCATCCAACATTCTTTGGTGGAGGCGGGACTCGGAAGCAAGTTGTGAATGGATTTCACCCAAGAGGATCGGTCGATCTGTTGAAAAAAGCCGACAACCACGTCGAGAACTATCCGTGTAGGGCTTACTAACCCTAACTATGTCATCATGTCACAGGGGAGGCTGGGTGAAGCTGATTCATGATTGCTGGGACCGGGCTGTGGCTAGCGAATGTTGGAGGTATGTCTCGCTTCTCGGCGTCTCGGCGTCTCCTTTATGTCATCACTTACCTTGCCCCTTCGCTCCACCTGCACACGAGTTCCCTGACCGTAGGCGCCAGGACACTCGGAAACAAAGAACACGGTTATTAGACTTCCATCTTACAGGCTGATCTACAGGGTGCTTGCTATCGTCAAGCTATCAAAACTAGTTCCCTGATCCAAACCATGCGGGGAGAGATAGGAAAAAGTTCGAGAGAGGGCTCTTCCGCTAGTAGGCCGAATCTGTTCCATGTAGAAACGAGGTTTTCCGGTCTTCTCTTATCATGAACACACATGATGTTTACAAATAAATTGATGGCCCAACATATATGAATGTCTTTGGGCAACCCGAGATAATGCCGTCAAACTCTTCCATGTAACTCGAGCAAAATTGGGCAGTGCAATGCGAGCTGTCCAATCCCACCTCATCATCTGTACCCCCAGCCCTTGTCATACACCAAGATCTCCACGGTACTGGGGCGTCAATTTTGATGGGCGAGAATTCAAAGGCGTAGGTAATTACTCCTCTAGTGCTTAGTTTCCTATGTGAATGAGGGCTTGCTATTCCCAGTGAGGTGATGCAGGCGAGGTGCAGGCGAAGGTGAGAGTGAAGGTGACTTACTTCACAGCATTTATATAGGCATTACTTTTTCAGTATTTTAATCATTGTGCCCTTCTTATCAGTCACCACTAGCAACTTCTACGTCCCAGGATCCAAATGTTATCTCTCCAGATGAATAGTTGATGATTCATGCTTTCTACACCGAGCCCATCCCCTACTTTCAATATATCACATCCTGAGCTGCACCCTCCAGCGCCAACCGGAAAAATTAAATAAAAAGAAAACTCGAGTCCTCTACACCTCATTGCTTACGTTCACGAGCTATGTCGGATTCCAGTTTACATGACCAAATGAAGAATATTGGCCTCTCATTAAATTCGACTGCGAGTTTTCGGGGTGGCTTAATTGTCAGTGATTTTTATGATTTGTATAATGTGAGTAACATCTGCCAACTGCACTCACCATCTTCTTACTGCCAGTATTTTATTCTAACGTGGGCCTCAGGCAGGTGATATTGCTTGGGTTATGATTTCAACTGCCCTTGTACTTCTCATGATTCCTGGAGTCGGGTGCGTGCAGACATGAAAAACGTGGAGATGCCGCGTGACTCCGACTAACCACCATGTGTTCTACAGACTTTTTTATTCGGGTCTAGCGCGTCGAAAGTCTGCCCTCTCTCTCATCTGGTTATCCATTATGGCTGCAGCCATTGTTTCTATCCAATGGTTTTTATGGGGCTACTCTTTGGTCTTTTCGCGTGGTGCGAGCAGGTACATCGGTAATCTGGAGAATATCGGCTTCCGGAATATCCTTGATGCGCCGTCCATCAGCTCCCTCAAAGTCCCCGATCTTCTATTCGCCGTTTATCAGAGCATGTTTGCTGCTATTACCGTAGCTCTTGCTGTGGGTGCAGTAGCCGAAAGAGGGTTAGTCAGATCCTATGTCTGCCAATTCTAAACACGCTACATCTTACGGCACCATCGCATCGCATATGGTGGATTAATGTGCTAATATCCTTCTAGTCGAATGCTTCCTGCCCTGGTCTTCATACTTGTATGGTCCACCATAATCTACGACCCAATAGCTTGCTGGTCATGGAATCCATCGGGCTGGGTTTATACCATGGGCGGTCTGGATTTTGCTGGCGGAACTCCCGTCCACATTTCATCTGGCTGTGCTGCCTTGGCCTATTCAATTATGCTAGGTAAACGCCGTGGTCATGGAACTGGGGGTCTAAGCTATCGCCCCCACAATGTTACGCATATAGTTATCGGAACTGTGTTTATGTGGGTTGGCTGGTTTGGCTTCAATGCTGGCTCAGCTCTTGCTGCAAACATGCGTGCTATCATGGCTGCTACAGTCACCAATCTAGCAGCCTGCGTTGGCGGATTCACATGGTGCCTCTTGGATTATCGCCTTGAGCGTAAGTGGTCCACGGTTGGATTTTGCTCTGGCGTAATAGCAGGTCTAGTGGCCATCACCCCTGGCTCTGGTTTTGTTCCTCCTTGGGCTGCCATAATATTCGGTGTTGTAGGGGCCGCTGGTACGTCCGTCTGTTTCTCTCCTCCCAACTTGCTCTAAATCTCTTGCTTGCCCATACTAATACAACTTTCTCTAGGAGCCAATTATGCTACGAAATTAAAATTTGTCTTTGGCATCGATGATGCCTTAGATATCTTCGCTGAACACGCAGTAGGGGGGTTTATAGGGAATATTCTCACTGCTTTCTTTGCTAGCCGCAAAATTGCACACCTAGATGGCTATAGCCAAATCTCTGGTGGCTGGCTGGACCAGCACTGGGAGCAACTTGGCTACCAGCTCGCCGACTCATTGGCTGGCGGTGCCTATTCATTCTTTGGAACCTGCCTCATCCTCTTCATCATGAACCTTATACCTGGTCTATCGTTACGCGCCACCGAGGAGTCGGAAATTTTGGGTCTCGATCATGCCGAGATTGGCGAATTTGCCTATGACTATGTCGAACTTACGCGCGAGGTACTGCATGACTCAGCAGATAGCGACCGACAGTTTAGGTTTGGCACGGAGTGTGAAATGAACCTACAATCCCTCCAGCACCCAAAGCATCTGGCGAGACCGATAAGTAACTCTATCGATAACTCCATTTAGCGAGACTATTTTTACTCCGGTCGTCTGAAGTTTAATTGATACCCATGAATTATTATAGCATTCTCGCACTTTTGTACATCTTACTACTGAGCACCATGCCGCTGCTCATTTTCGCACTTGGCACGCCAGATACTTTTTACACGTTCTTAATCATCTAATTCTAATAGTTTTGGAAATCATACTTCTCTTCAACCTCTCGAATTTCGAGATATTCTTGGTGATAAGACCAGGGGTTAACATATGTTTTCGTACTTGACCTTACCGCTAGGCCTAGTACAGATTTCAGCCTGATACTACGCAATAAAACAACTGATACTCTATGAAATCTTGCTGTCTGATATAACATGTTTGAAAATCTCTTTCATCAAACGTCATATTTTGGTCTGCTGCATGGTCAGAATTTGTTCAAGTCAAGTTAAGGGGTTTCATGTATAGGGTTGAGAGGTGATACTTGAGAAGCAGGGTCGGCCAAGAGTAGACGTTCGTGACAAGCGCTTTCACGATCTCTTTTTACGAAGAATGTAGAACAAACTGATGGGTGCGAATGTTTTACCTTTCGCATTAATTGCCGAAAAAGGCTCCTGATACTTACTGCGGACGCCCTTAAAGCGAACGGCGGCAAGCTGGGCTATTCCAGTCGCTATAGTTTTAGATAGTGGCCCAATAAATGGTGTGATGCTATCTGGAGAAGATCTAACCTTGCTAGGAGACGGGTTTACGCGTCAGAGGAAATGGAACGGTTGTCTGAAGACCAATCAAGCATTGATGCAAGCAGAAATGGCTCACTTTTTGGTACAAGTACTGGCATTTACTTGGTTTTCTGTATCTAACCGTCCGAGATGGGGGCTGTGAGAAGCCTGACACAAATCAATCCCAACAACTACATCTCCCAATAGTGCCACTTGATACAGACCTACTGCGTCTAGCTTTGTACCACAGATATAGCTGCACTTCAAGGCATTTTGCAGGGGTATCGGAGGATATTTGAGCCAACTCATGCATCTAAAATTTCTCCAAAAATCACCTTATTAGGCTCTAGATACACCATTGAATTATCAGTTCGATATGTTCCACTTTGAATTGCCTGTGGCAAGTAGATGCGGTTTGCGCAGTCAACACTAGTACGTAATGGCCCAATGCGTCTACGTTGAGCAAAGGGACTTAAAAACGCAGCAGCTCGAGGCGGAAAAAAACTGGAATCTGCAGTCGAGGCTAAAATTGCGCTTTACTCCATGGCACCTGTTTGTCGGGCTCGTTGAACTTTACTGAGCGTGCTGTTCGGGCTACGGCGCTGCGGGAGTGACAACGAGCCGCTCAGCTCTCCCGACACCCGAGATTAGGGAGCAGACACTACCTCGGCCTGTTCTGCGGCACGACGGCCAGTGGCATGGTGTTGGACGCGAGAGCTGAACACGTTGTGGGAGAGGGTGACAGGTGCAAGCTGCTCGACCTGGCCGGCGACGACGTCCATTTTCGTGGGTCGACGCAGCGTCGCACGACAGCTTTTGCCCCTGCGTCCCGCGGGCCCGGCCGATGCGGCGGGCCAGCACTATGGCCTGGGCTCGTCGTGGCTGTCGCTAACCACGAGTGGCTTGATATGGGTTTTCCTCGCTCGCGCCGCCTTCACGCTACATCCAGGGAACTGGGCGACGTCCGCGTCGTCGTGGCAGAGCCCCATCGCTGGGTTGACGTGATGAGTCATGGCTACGACCAGCGCATGAGGGCGGCTTGCCCTCACACCTTCATGTGCCCTGATACGCACCGAACCTCCCTACCGAGCCCCAACTTGCTGAGCTATCACATATGTTTTTTACCATTTCACGCCTATTCAGCTATCTAGACATGACACACGATAAGGGATTCATGCACATGTCGGGGGACCCCTTGAAGTTAGAGACTCCCATACTCGTGATATCATTCGCAAGCATCATCATGACGTGTGTTTGCTTTCGCAGAACGATCGACCCTCCTCCGTCAGCACGCGCCAAAGGGAAATTCAAGACCTCTGGCCATCCAAGCAAACCACCACCGCGAAAAATGTGATCTGGGACCTCTCATTCTCAAGTGAAGTAGGTGTCCAAACTATTCAGAATCAACTTGGGAGATCAGGCCGGACGATGTACCACTACACCATCTAGCCACGTCGGTGTCTTGAATGTCGCCTGTACTCTTGAAATGTAAGTCTTGATGCGCACAAAGCTATTTTTGTAAACCCATAATCAAAATTAAAGGTAACATCCGTCTCGAGTTTATATCCATCATGTGGATTTTCTTGTCCACATTTCTAAAGCCCATGCCATATTTTGGCCTCGCAGTTTTTAACCTTCCCGCCGGTACAAATATCAACGTGGGCGTATATTTAGAGGTCACCCAGTGCCAGAGACTGAGTCGATAAAAGATGTGGTCGTGGAAACGAGAGTGTACTAGGTCTTACTCGCAGACATGATTTGGATTTCTTTGGAACTAATCTTGTGGGCAGTAAAAGATTTTAATTATTTAGTTGTCCTTTCCCAGTCAATGACTATGTTGGAAATGTAGGTCTTGCGAATAAGACGAGGGTAATTGTGTTAGTAGATCCCCTATAATGCCTCGTATCCAACTCCCCTCACAAGTCCTCGTTTGGTCATACACTTAGAGGAGCCCTATGCCCTTCATTATCTCCCCTCTTTAGCAAGTACAACGATGACCGTTCGTGGGTGTATGGTAGCTAGGAGAAATCGTAAACCACTGTGTCTGGGGCTTTTCTCATACCGACATCAGGACTAAATCTGAAGGCACAACTACCATCTGGAGGCGTTCAAAGAGGTCGGCCAGCCAGTTGCTGTAGATTTGTATGTAACTCAGAAAATGCAGTGTTTGCCAATCTAGCCTCCTTCCAACTCCTTCTCTAAGGTCGTGCTGATATAGCAGAAAGGTCTTGACAGAGCTTGATCTCTTAAAAGTTGCTTAGCTCGAATTTTTTTGTGCCATCTGGAGAACTGGAGAGTACCGTTTACTTACTGACGGTCGAAGCTCCTTGTCTAGTTTGAGACTATTTTTCAAAAGGTGAAGAATCGTGGGAGACACCGCCGAAAGAGGTCGAGTTTTCGCATCCCTCCGAAGCTACTTTTTCCGCCTCACTTTCAACGTAATGCATAATTATGTCAAGGATCTAGGCAGTGCTCGATGTGGTATTTAATACAGCGGAGAAGAAGTGGATACGTACGCAATGGAATATATGGGTAATAGAGGCTATACGCTAATAAAGTAACCATGACATAATTCTCAGAGTAAGCTCTGGTAAGATTAGCATACAATTTTTCTCAACAAAATTTTAACTATATCATATCAGACAATGCATGCCTAATACTGTTGGGCTGTCTTTTGGGCCTGGCATACATGAACGTAATGCTAAGCATGTGTGCCCTAAAGATTTCATGGGGAGAGGCATATTAAGCTAACAGACTGCTCTGATATTTAGGAGGTCGAAAAACTGCCACACTATAGTGACTATTGAAAATGCATATTATCAGAGCTCAAAAGCTGAATGCATTATGATTTTTTTTGACGGTGCATGGCTTAGGGAACCATCCCGCTCAGAGTATTTAAATGGTAGACGGTGAGGTACAAGTGGATGATAGTTACAGCTAGGGATTTTCTCATACACTTTAGTAAGTCAACTTAGTTTGCGATGGGACGGACACTGTGGATCTGGTGGTTGAGTGGAAGTCGGTTAAATTTTTCTACATAAAGCTGGGATAGCATGAACACCTGCTCTACCCAGTGCAAGATACCAGCTGGCTTGAATTCAGTGGAAACTTCTACCCCACTAATAAGCTAGCATATGACTCAGCATTACGAAGTAACATCAAATTTTAATCGACCATCCCTCGACTTGGCCCACAATTCTTGGGCTTATTAATTTATTTTATTGTCCTGTCTGAGTCTATGACTATGTAGGACATACAGGTCCTCTCTGCCTACAGGCCAAGGATACCTATACTAGTAGTATATCCCCTCCTATGCCTCCCATACAGCTCCCCTCAAATAGTACCACCCCTCACAAGTCCTCATTCGATCATACACTAATAGGAGCCCTTAGCCCTTCATTTTCTCCCCTCTCCAGCCAACGAAACGATGGTCATTTGCGGGTGTTGGCAGCCGGGAAAAATCGCAAAAAAACCACTAGGTGTAGAGCTCTTCTAATACCGACATTAGGAATAAATCCGAAGACATAGTGATCCTTCTGATGAGTTCGAAGAGGCCGGCCAGCTGGGCGCTGCAGACTTGCGGGTACCTCGGGAAATTCACTCTCTGCCTTTCTAGCTTCCTTCCAACTCCTTCCCGAAGGTCGTGCTGAAATGTCAGAAAAGTCTTGACAGAGCGTGATTGCTGTATGGTAGCTTAGCCCGACTTCTTTTGTACCGTCCAGGGCGCTGGGGAGTGCTGTTGACTGATCGACAATAGAAGCCCTCCTGGCTAATTAATCGAAATCTCGGTCTTGGCGCCCACAAAAATTCCAAAGTTGAAAACTCCTCGAAAATATCGGTCCCAGCATGCTCTTCAGAGACCTGTTCCCCCTCTCGCTCCACATTTCAGCCGCCTGTTCTTCCTCAAGTTGATGGTCCCATTAGAGCAACAGTCCTCCACAAGCCAAGACCCAGGCTTTGTATTTTTTGACTTGATTTCCTCCTTGCGGGTATTAATAGCGTCGTAAATATGAAGTGAGAGATGGCTGGAGATTAATGGGGTAAGCTCCTGTATGCAATTGGAGCAACTTCTTTATTGATCGTTGAGGCGAGATGTTGCGTGGTTAGAGATGGGTTGAGGACTCAGATGATAATGATGAGAGAGGCATTGTCGAGAAGTTGTCAAATGGAGATGTGTATGAGGTTACTTTCGACTTCGATTCGGATGCGATTCTTCTTGGCTATCTCAGATATGCAGAGCATACTGAGCGATTACACCGGCACCACTGGAAAGTGAAGAATTCGTCTTTGCCGGCATTCTTGGGCTTAGGA